GATACAGTAGACAATCTGTACCAACAGAATCACAGAATCATGGAACTAGATGAGATCATATGTATTTATCATCAAAATTGCATAACTGATTGTTTTGATTTTACTTGTCTTTCACCCAAGAAAGACTTCCCAAGTATTCTACATTCTACTGACTTGGAACAAATATCTGCTACTAATTTTCCTTTGATAATTGAAAGGTACAAATACATAAGATATAAGAAATCACTAAATTTGTTGTTCATCAACATTTAAATCTATAAAAATTTTTCCAATAAGAGAATATTCACTGAGATATTAAAAACAACAAAATTTTAAGTCTAGTACAGCCCCAGAAAGAATTTAACTTTGTAGTTAATAAATTATACACAAATTATTGAACTATAATAATTTGTTCACTAAGTTTATAAATGCTTATTCTGAGGGAATAAGCATTTATAAACTGGTTAAATTCTTAAATGAATTTAAAGAATTCTAAAGAAACTGGTTAATTCTTAAATGAGAAAAGTTAAATCCAACATTCCTTTCATCTACACATACTTGTAAGGATCCACAAATAACCAAGATGACAGAAAGATGGATTGGCATTTTTATTAAATGCAAAAACAGCTATGTTCTAAACCTGTGTTTTCCAATATACCAAACACTAATTACTCACGTGTAAGTTGAAGATACAGTTTCTCAGTGGTACTAGTCACATTACCAGTGCTCACTAGACATGTGGCTAGTAGCTAAGTAAACAGCACAGGTAGAGAACACTTCCATTATCACAGTAAGTTTGACTGGACAGCGCTACTTTAAATCACAGTGAAATGCAAATTTGCTGATACTTCTTAAATGGTAATACAAGTTCAAATAATAATTTTTTGATTGACTATTTGGCAAGAAGAAAAAGTATACATTTACAAATGGGAAAAAATAAATATAAGGGCTGTAGTAATGAAACCTTTAAGTATGAATCTGAAAAGATAATTTAATGATGACGAAACTGAATCCAGAGAATGGTACAAGAAAAAAAACTTTTTCATTTAAGATTTTAATATACCAAATAAAGTCATGTTTGAAAGCTGAAATGTGCTATAATTGATAATAAACTGAAATAAAATAAGGTCTAAGCTATTCTGTGTATCTTAGCATTGGCTAATCTATTGGATATAGAGACTTTTCAGCAAAGTGGTTAGAATTTCATAAACATTGCTTCTTGTCTTATTAGCTATGCAACCTTAAGTAAGTCACGTAGGCTCTCAGAGCCTTCGTTTCCTCATCTGTAAATGAGGAAAGAATTCAAGTACTTCAGGTTTAAAAAGATTAAGTAAAAGTTTATACATGCAAAGCACTAGAGAACCTGGCATATATTAGTCCTCAAAAAATGTTAGTTGTTAAGAAACTTGTATTTTAGTTGAACCTAGTTTACTGGTGAATTTCTTTGGTTAATTCCTATTGACTTTCAAATGCATAGAACAGAGAGATACTCTGGAAAATATTCAAAGATCATGTGTGAACACTAGGTCACATGATGACTTTATGACTTGCAGTAATGAAAGAATCTACATCCAAATCTCTACCAACACTTTTCACCCACGGGCCTCAACATTTTTGCAATGAATGTATAACACAAAGCCCCACAGGCAAGCTGGTGGTATAGTATTTTAAAAAATGAATTAAAAACCCTTCCCAAGTTAAAAGAAGTGGCATATGTTTTTTGTGTTGGTGACTGAGGCTGGAGTAAAAGATAAGACTGGATAAGTAAAACAAACTTAACTGACAAGAGTTTAAAACTTTAAAATGAGAAGTTTATTATATTTCTAAAAGTTTATGCTTCTGCATATTAGCTGATGTTTAAATAACTACGCTCAAATTTTAAAAGGGATATATCTTCAAGAGTAATTTTAAAAACACAGAACAGTTAGATATATATAAGAGTACCAGTTATTCTCTCATTAAGTTTTGAGATACATCAATACAATTTCCTAATTCACTATAGCAGAACAACAGGTACTCAACTCAATGTTATCTCCAAAACCTGTGGAGATGAAGATGGAATCTCACCTAACTTTTAGGTCTTACCCCAGAAAATGTTTATTCTAATAGAGGGACAAGTTTCGGTAGAGTAAAACACAGGCACCAGATAGTCAAAGCTAACCAAGACCCTCCTAAATTATTTTTATGCCTAACTTCATTCTTCTGGAATATTTTTAGAACTGAGCTCTGGAATCACCTATCTTTCTGAAGCTTGGTTCTAACTGAATCTGAAATCTTAACCGACTTGACATTTTTAATCAACTTTCAAATCAAACATTTTCATACAGCAATTTTCAGAGTTCTAATTCCATTTTCCATAATGTCAGCACTTGTGTTTTGCCTTTCAGGTAACTCTTACATATACATATTTTCTTTTCCATTAGACAGTAACACTTTTAGCTTTTATTTATAGTCTATAATTGAAAGTAAAACATTTAGTGAATATTTTGAAAATAAATGTATTAATTGATTATTTAGGGATGCTGAATGGAGTCCAGGCATCAGACTCTATTTCTTACTCTATTATTACTAACAGTATGATCTCAACTCCAGCTTCTGCAGAGGTCAGGATCTTTGAAAGGGAATGATTGTACAGGCTGACCTCTCATGTCACATATTTCTAAGTTTTGAAAAATATTTTCAAGAATAATTCTTTAAAAAAATACACAGAACAGTTAGGTGTGTAATGATAAGAGTTCTTTCATTAAGTTTTAAAACATAGCAATACAATTTCTACTCACTACAGTAGAACAGCAACATATACCTGATAACATTGCTCCAAATGAAGTTACAAACATTAATCAACACATGACATTTCAAATAATTTTCCCCATAACACATAACTTGCTATTTTCTTTTGTCACTTCACAACAGCATTTTAAACTATTATAATAACCTTCAGTTTCCATACATACAGTCACACAAAAAGCTGACTAACATACTTAAGAACTAGACCGTCATTAACATTTAAAACATAGGAAAGAATTTATTCATAGAAATAATTTAAATACACATTTAAAGTTTCCATTTAATTTTCAATAAATATTCTGAGGTTATCTTACAACTATGAGTTGCAAATTAATACTGTCTAAGGGTATTAAGTTACCAAAACAATTCTCCCTGAAGAAAATATATAGGTCACAGAACAGTCTACTATCATTATCAAAAATATAAACATTATACAGGTCAAGACTTGCTAATGAAAACTACTAATATGACCAATCTCCAAGCACACTCTTTTGTAACACAATTAACACGTTTTAAGTTAATAGAGCTTTAAATTAACACGAAAAATGACAACACTATCAGGTACAAATAATTCTTTACACTTTTTGCATTCTTTATCCTTTCTGTATGGGTAGTTACCATATTTGTGCAATTTAAAAAAGATAACATAGGCTGGGCACGGTGGCTCAAGCCTGTAATCCCAGAACTTTGGGAGCTCGAGGTGGTTGGATCACCTAAGGTCAGGAGTTCCAGACCAGCCTGGCCAACGTGGTGAAACCCCATCTCTACTAAAAATACAAAAATCAGTCGAGCATGGTGGCGGGCGCCTGTAATCCCAGCTACTCGGGAGGCTGAGGCAGGTGAATCGCTTGAACTGGGAAGCGGACGTTGCAGTGAGCTGGAATTGCGCCACTGCACTCCAGCCTGGGCGACAAGAGCGAAACTCCGTCTCCAAAAACAAACAAACAAACATAAATTCTACCTCTATGTTGGCTTTTTAAATCTCCATATGGCATACTGTGTTCTTAAATAGTTTATATAATAGTTCATCAAACTTTTCTGGAGCTCCTGAAAATTAAAACTAAAACCTTATTGATGAAACATAAAAACCATATTATCTGATCTCACTATTTATGTTAAACAAAATGAATGACTAAATCCTTCTAAATGAATTCTACTTTATTAATACAGAAAAAAGCTATTTTCTTCATGCTAAATTATAAAGCCTAATTCTTATGTTACAACCATATAAACATTACAAGTAAGATTTACAGAAACTAAAATCACCAGGCCCACTTTAAGTGCTAAGATGCCATTTACTCCTAGTGACATAACAAATACCATTTGTTATTTGGCCATTCTGAATTATAAAAATAGATGAACTTTACAAAGGCAAACCAATTCTTGCACAACCATCCTGATTGACACATATATACATATATATGCATGTGTATACATGCGCGCGCGTGCACAAACACACACACACCATATAGCCATACAGAAATTCCACTTTGATGATTTTCTACTGTTTGATGTAAAGTGTGGAGTACCCGCACCTTCAGCTCTCAGAAGAAATTAACCGTGTTCTGGAAGCACTTCAACTCCAAATGACCTTTAAGTTTTAAAGGCATTGTAGCAGATCCTTGAATGTCTAGAGAAAACGCAAACCTGTCTGGCTTTTTTCTCTAATGGATAAAGTTGCTGTTTGGTCTCATTATGCTTTCCATTCCTAATCTGAAGAGATGAAGGCGATCTAAGACAGGGTTGTCCACTCAGGATTAGCCTCACTTGCACAGAGCCAGACTAGCAGCCCCCGCGTTGTTGTAAGGTTGGGCTGGACCCAAGTGATGGAGGGAGAAGAGCCAACCTTACAGTACTACCTGTAGCTCCAAAGGAGTCGGTGCGGGGGGAAAGCAGGGGTGGGATGGCACTAGGGACTTCTTTCCTCGGACCATATTTGGGGAAGTGTTCCAGAATGTGTGCAAGTCCTCCTCGCTAGAGTGAGAAAGGGAATCCCAGGGAACGCTCTTCCCAAGCTCCCCCCATCCGGCCCTTCGCGCTCAACCCTCAACGCGGAGCTGGAGGTCGGGATGGAGGAGGAAGGCAGCTGGTCACCCCGACCCCCAAGAATGGCTCCCGGCGGCCGCTGCTAGGCCTGGCCAGTGCCCGCGGCCTCAGGGTCTGCGACCCGGAGGAGCGCTCGGTGCCCCGCGCCGGCCCGCCCAGCGGATACCCAGACCCGGCCTTCGACTTACCGCTCTCCACCTCGCTGCCTTTCTTGGCGGTCGCCGCGTTCCCCATGTCTGGGGCGACGGCAAGAAGGGGTCAGGGAGGGGAAGCGGGGGCTGGGGCTGTGCCCGCCACTCCACAGTCTGAGGCAACTCCCGCTTCTGTACCCGTCGGAGTGGTGACTGCGACTGGCGCTGGCGCCCTGAGTCCGGGCGGGAAGACCCGGCCGGGTCTCAGAAAAGGGTTTAAGCAAACTCCTCGGTGGCGACTGCGGCGGCGGCAGCGGTGGCGGCGGCGGGCAGACACTCCCCCTTCGCGCGGCCCGCCCTCTCTGCGCGCCCCCGGGCAGCCACGAGCCCGGGTCAGGCTCTGGCCCCGCTGTATCTTCGCGGGCGGGCGCGCGCACCGGAAGTGACGTAGGCTCGGGACCCCGGGGGCGGGCGGTGGACCGCAGCTGGCAGAGCCTGGGGTCCGGGTCTGAGGTAGTGCGGACTGCCTCCTCCGCCGCTGTCGCCCGGGCTGGCGCTCGGGTGCCCATCCCTGACATAGTGGGAGGTGGAGTGGGAACCGCTAGCTTTGCGGAACGCAGAGTGCTTCCTCATCCTGGCGTTCCGGTGCCTTGGAGTGGAGTCGCGGGAGACTATGCCGCGGCTCGTGTGGTTTTGCTTCTGTCCCGCCACGCGGCGGCTCCTCACCCAAAGGCTGCCTTCTCCCCGCAGTGCCAGGTCCGAGGGGAGCAGCACCGTCGGGTTGGACGTCGCGCGCGAGGGTGGCCTCTTAAGTCTGCATCTGCCAGGCACCGGCCGCGGGAAAAGCCTGGTCCTAGGCATGGTCGTGGTTCGAGCCTCTCGTTTCTTCGGACATTGAGGTATTCGCTGAGCCCACCACGTTGTCCTCGGGGTTAGTAGGCTCCAGTCACAAGCCCTGTGATGTTTTCAGACTTCCCAAGTGAAAATAAAGGAAAGTTTTACTATTTCTGCAGAACTTTTGCTGATGTATGGTATTGTATTTAGCAGCTTCTGTGTAGATCTGAAAATACATTCCCAATTGTTAGTTGCGGTTTTATTAATATAAATCTTGGAGTAATTGATTTTGCTGTTAGCTTTACCTAGGTAAATTATGTGGCACTCTAGCATTTCTGTTCTTGCATGTTCCATTGCACCTTGCCCTGTGTTTTCCATCTATTCCAAATTCAAAATAGAAAGACTGTAATTTCCCAATTTATTCTGTTCCCAAGGCACCAGGCATCGTAGGTGTTTTATGAATACCTGTTGACTTGAAATTTCTCAGACTTTAAAAAAATTTTTCGGGCCGGGCGCGGTGGCTCAAGCCTGTAATCCCAGCACTTTGGGAGGTCGAGGTGGGTGGATCACGAGGTCAAGAGATCGAGACCATCCTGGTCAACATGGTGAAACCCCGTCTCTACTAAAAATACAAAAATTAGCTGGGCAGGGTGGCGCACGCCTGTAGTCCCAGCTACTAGGGAGGCTGAGGCAGGAGAATTGCTTGAACCCAGGAGGCGGAGGTTGCAGTGACCCGAGATCACGCCATTGCACTCCAGCCTGGGTAACAAGAGCGAAACTCCGTCTCAAAATTTTCATTACTGACAAAAAATGGAGCGATAAGTAGAATATTCTTAGTAAACGTCATATTATTGCTAATCCTGTTAAATTAATAATGTATACTGTATTCTAACTTTTATACAAATAGAACGCATTTGCTTCTCATAAGAACCCTATGAGGCATGTGGTTTTACTGTAATTTTAGTTACGAACAAATTAAGGCATAGAGAAGTGATTTACCCTAGGTTAACAGCTGTTACCTGGTGGAAGCAGTATTTGAACCCAGGCAATTGGGCTCCAAAGTCTGACCGTTTGTCTATAATGTTGAACAGAAACTTGTGGATGTTGTAAATTGCTTTCTCTCCATTTGAAATCCCATTGACTTGAAGAGAGTGAGTTTACTTCCTAAGGAAATTTATTATATTGTTTTCTGGGTTTCAATTAATTCAAATAAAGATCGGGAAGCAAGGATTTGGACTACATAATGTGCAGATTTGTGTCAGCATGCAACAATATCACAATAATGTCATCTCCAATCATATTTGGTTTTGTATTGTAGATGTAATATTTTGCCCCACATACAAAAAATTCAATAAATAGTGTGCACTAAGCCACATATATACCAAATTAAAGACTTTTGATATTCCCTCTATTCTAGAGGGAATCTTTCTAGAAATTATTTCTTTTACCTTAACTTAGTTTCCTGTAGTGCGAAGTAATATGTATTAAATCATAAAGTCTATGAAAAACACCTAGGATAACTTTTGTTATATCATAGGCACTCAGTAACTATAACTCTGTCCCCCACTCCTCAATAACATTCTATTTTCTCACGCTTATGTTTCAACAACATTCATTGAACAAATTCGATTACAAGAAATAGAATAATAATGAGTTTGTATTATATGCAAAGTATTATGAAAGGGATAAAAATGAACAAAATCAGTTCTCTGTCCTCAAGGAGGTTTTATGTATGGCAAGATGAATATATAAATCAGTAATTGCGTAAAATGAGATAAATTTGTATTATAGCATAAATGTAAGCAATTAGGAAACATAAAGGTAAATGCCATTAAATCATAGATAATTTAACATTGAATTTTGATGTTTAACAAGTGGGGAAGAACATCAAGAACAGCTTGAGCAGAGGCTTGCATGCAAATTATCCCCAGGTCGTACTAGACCAGATGTTGTGGAAAAATGTAGTAAGGGTCGCAACTTTCCCACTGGAATATAGGCTATATGTGAAGGAATTTTGATTTCGTCATCACGATATCTACTATATCCAGAATCATGCCTTGCATATAGTAGGAACTCAATAAATATTTGCTGAATGAGTGAGTAAATGAATAGAAATAGTAGGTTCAGATAAGATTGTATGTATTTGGGGAAATTTTAAATGCCACTTAAGAAATACAGGCTTTAGGCCGGGCGCAGTGGCTCAAGCCTTTATTCCCAGCACTTTGGGAGGCCGAGGCGGGCAGATCACAAGGTCAAGAGATCGAGACCATCCTGGCCAACATGGTGAAACCCCGTCTCTACTAAAAATACAAAAAGCAGCTGGGCATGGTGGCGCACACCTGTAGTCCCAGCTATTTGGGAGGCTGAGGCAGAAGAATTGCTTGAACCCAGGAGGCGGAGGTTGCAGTGAGCCGAGATTGTGCCACTACACTCCAGCCTCCTAGTGCCTGGCGACAGAGTGAAACTCTGTCTCAAAAGAAAAGAAAAGAAATACAGGCTTTATTATGCAATAGAGAACTTGAGGATATTTAAAGAGAGAAGTAATATAATCCCACATTTTATTAAGAAGGTAACTTTTATAGTAATGTGATGGATATGTTGGAGAAACAATAGATTGGCAGCAAGGTGACTATTGTAATAAAATAATGAGAGGAAGTCATTCAATAGTACATCAGCAATGGAAGAAAATAGAAAGAATGCATGTCAGATATTTGAATGTTAAGATCTATAGAATTTGGTAAGTGTTAAGACTCTCTAGCATAATACAAATGATAGAGGCCCAATTCAAACTAGCATAAGAAAAATTAAGCAGAACTTACTAGGTCACAGAACCAGGAAATTTAGGTTGGATATGGTTTTAGAATTAGATAGATCCAAGGCTATATATCTCTATATATTTATCCTTATTCTGTTCATATATTTGACTGTATTCTGTCAAACAGGCTCTCTCCACATGACAAATTTACATTTTCCCAGCTTAACAATCTAAATAGTAATGCCTTCTCTTTCCCAACATCCATATATTATAAAGTTAGGTAGAATATCCCATATCCAAAAAGCTTAGGACCAAAAATGTTTTCAGATTTTGGATTCTGGATTATTTGCATATGCATAATGAGACATCTTGAGGATGGGATCCAAGTCCAAACACAAAATCCATTTACATTTCATATTCTCTGTATACACAGTCTGAAGGTAATTTTAAACAATATTTTAAATTATTTTGTACATGAAACAAAATTTTTACTGCATTTCAACTTCAGCTTGTCATGTGAGGTCAGGTATGGGATTTTCCACCCATGGCATCATACTGGTGCTCAAAAAGTTTGGCTTTTGGAGCATTTTGGATTTTTGAATTAGGAAGCCAACCTGTATATTATAAACATTGGTTCTGCATGGGTCACATTCACATTTTTTATGAGGAAAGGAGGCCATGGTTGACATGAAACGAGAGAAGTATAATTTGCTAGAAGAAACTGTCATATGGAGTAGACAAAAATAACATGCCCAATATAGCGAAAATAAAGACTTAGAGCTCTATATCAATCTTCTATCCTGAGTGAGTGGATAAGTAGATCAGGAATAAAGGGGAAAAAACTGTGTTTTGTTTTGTGTTTTTTTTTGAGACGGAGTTTCGCTCTTGTTACCCAGGCTGGAGTGCAATGGCGCGATCTCGGCTCACCGCAACCTCCGCCTCCTGGGCTCAGGCAATTCTCCTGCCTCAGCCTCCTGAGTAGCTGGGATCACAGGCACGCGCCACCACGCCCAGCTAGTTTTTTGTATTTTTAGTAGAGACGGGGTTTCACCATGTTGACCAGGCTGGTCTCGATCTCTCGACCTCGTGATCCACCCGTCTCGGCCTCCCAAAGTGCTGGGATTACAGGCTTGAGCCACCACGCCCGGCACTGGTTTTTAAATTAGTGAGAGATGTGTAACGTGGGTCATACTGAGTTCGAGTTGGTAGTGGGACTTCTCTATGGGGATGATGAACAGCAGGGAAATAAAAAGATCATTATATGAGTTGTGGGGCACATATTCTCAGGACCTCTTGGGGGCTGTGTCAAGGGTCATGGTCACTCAAATTTGGCTCAGAATAAATTTCTTCAAAATATTTTACAATTTTACTATTTTCATCAGCAATAGTTTGGCACCCAAACATGTTGGGCCTCAGAGAAGACTCAGGGCCCAAAGGAATTGCCCAAACTCAGTGCTAACATACCAGTGGGGGCCCACTGAAGCCTCCCTGACTTTAAGCTTCTCCTCTCGTGGATCTGGCGAGCCGTCCTGAGTCCTGCACCTCCCTTTGGTTGAGGGTCCTTGATTTATTGAGTTTTTTTTTTTTCCTCCTGGGAAGATTTTTAAGGATCCTAATTTTGGTTCAGATCCTAATTTAATCCTTGCATTCTAAAGGGTCATTTCTATTGCTTTTATTCCAAAATTAGTCTCAATTTGGCTTGTTGGTTCACATTTGAGTGAGGAACTGAACTGTTGTTTTCATAGGTAAAATGAGAGACTGCATTTCTTCAGTTCCAGAGAGAAAGAACATTTGCTCCTCCCAACTGAAAGGCACCCCTGGGAATGTCTCATGGGAATGTCTAGGGTGCAGCAG